CGGAGCCTGCTTGGGCTTCTCTCTCTCTTCTCTCTCTCTGCCGCCCCCCTCAAAATAGATAATTAAACTTTTAAAAAAAGAAAAGAAACTGAGTAGCTTGTGAATACTTGGGAATAATGGGATGGAAAGTGAGAGAAGGGGTAAGGGCTTAAAAATCAGAGTCCTGGCTGGTGTAGGGATCTGATCCTGTTTGAACAGGAAGGGAACAAAGCAGAATATTTCATCAACAGTTCAGCATCCCCTACAAGATAGAGGACGGTCACAATCCCTGAGCTCCAGTCTGCCCCTTACAAGTGTTCCTGGTATGTTGATTCTTTCATCAATTTTCTTGCCAAGGTTCCATCCAAGGATGAAGGAAAAAGTAGTGCCTTCCCAGTGGAGCATGAGCATTTGGGAAGCTCCCCTTCTGAAAAACACATCACCTATCTTTAAACCACCCACCTGAAATTCCATTAACCATAATGTCCTGCTTTGGGTAGAATATGAGCCTCTTGTTTACTTAAGGGGCTTAATGCATTAGTTCTTTTAACATGAATTAAAAGTGTAGGTAAGAAAAAGCTTTTGTAGCAGTTAGTATATAGTGCCTGATGCACTGAAAATTTTGTATGAAGACGGTGATGGTGATGATGATTGATGATGATCATGATGACAATGATAATTATATTAACATCACTAAATCCTAACAAAACCCAAAGAGGAAGCTTTGGAGGAACAAATTTTTGCCTAAAGAATTGAAACTCAAAGAGATTGAATACACTACTCAAAGCCACACTGCTTGGAAGCACTGGCCAGGATCCAAAAGAGACGCAGAGTCTAGATCTAACCACTCTGTAGTGTCACTAGGCCTAGGTGGGAACATGAGGGATACCTTGAGGGACAGGTGGGCTGAGGTGGAGGTAGGTGGGCCAGTGAGCTTCCTCATTCTCATTGCACCACTGGATTTTCAAGTGAACAGATGAAGCCTATCCTAACCTCTATTTCTCTTTGTCCTTCTTTTTTCCATACCTTCTCTACTGGCACTCCTTGTATGATTTCTTATTAAAGAAAACAAGCCAGAAAGATCCTTTCAGGACAACATCTTGCATCTGCAATATCAAGGGGCCATATCTAGTATTTAGTGTCTCACATACAGTAGGTGCCTAATAAATATTTGCCAATCATAATGAAAAGGCAGCCTCTTCTAGGTCTCTGTCAAGCAGCCAGTGGTGGTCCTGAGCACCCTAGTCAAAGGCTCCATCACTGGGCATGCCTCACAGTGGGCTCCATGCCTGCTTTCAACCCTATATCTCTCCCTATACATGGCCAACCCCAAACTCATTATTAATTACAATGCTTCTGAAATATGTAGGAGGTGTGTAGCACAGTCCCATTTTCAAATTCAGAGAATGTCATCTGGTATGTACCTATTATTCACCCTCTAAATGTGTCTACTATAGCCCCAGAAATCTGAAAAACCAGACAGCAAGAACGGCACCTGTCCCACTCCACTTAATGCAGGGCTCTAAAGAAGTGCACCCAGGTGTTTGAGTAGCGTCCCTGAAAGATTAGAATTTGCCAACACCTCCAGGTATGGAAAAATGTTAGATCCTCCACTCTCAGCCCACCCTCCAAACTACCTTCTTTTAAAAAATCAGCCATTCTTCTGATATTAACTTTTGGTATCCATTTATTCATTCACCAGTCATTTGTTAAGAGGTAGTAAATGCATTATGACATGCAGTTGTAGCTTTGTGTATGGGAGAAGCCATTTCAAACTTATTTTTAATCGCCAAAACTAATTTTCAACACTAAGCCAGGATCTGCCAAAACTGTTTATTTCATTTTTTATTTGAGCCAGTACCAAATGGTAGACTTTTTAAAAATTGAATCCAGCTGCAAATCAGAAGAATATTCTAGATGCTCTGGAAAACTTTCCAAGCTCTATATTAATTACTTGATTAATTACTGAGTCTTGACATCTGTACCTCACACTGATATTCTTGCTTTAGCAGGCACACTTACAGACAACGTGAATTCCAAATTCACAGCATCCATGTTTATGGATGCTAATTTTATTTTTATGAAGTTACAGAGTTGACAGGAAAGAGGAGGGGAAATCAGACTTTTTTGTTTGGTCAGGCTGATAAGCTTCACAGATCTTATGGCTGAAGCAAGGAAGAGGTCAACATAGTCATGGAGCCAACTATATCTGGCTCTTCCACAAAGAACAGGCAGTCTCCTTACCCAGCTAAGAGAAAACAAAACCCACTTACTGGATGCAAAGGTGCTCCTCAGCCTTCCCTTTCTGTGTGAAGACTCAAAGACATACTGCCATTCTGTTCCTTCTGAGCACCTGGCTACTTAGAACAAGCTAAATGGTCAAGGGGCCTTAAGGAGGACACTTGTTGGGATGAGTACTGGGTGTTAAATGTAAGTGATGAATCACTAAATTCTATTACTGAAAACATTATTACACTATATGTTAACTAACTTGGATTTAAATTAAAAAAGAAAAAAGAATAATTCTGAGTTTCATAGTGATCAAACTAACCTTGGCTTAAGACTCTCAGTCCTTCTCCTTTCTAAAGGGATCAAGTCCAAAAACACTTGAAAGGGTCTACATATAATTCAGGAATACAGAAAGACAGGAAGGGATCAGTTTAGGAAGAAGATTAGATAAGTTTTCTTTAGCACCGTCTGTCCGTAACATTAGAACTAGGGATCTAAGACGTGATTAGTTATCTATCTCTAGGTCCAAAGATGCTATGCTTCCATTTATTCTGTAGATTATGAAGTCTGTTTCCACAGAGCAGTTAAAATTGGATTGGGACAGAAAAGCAACCTAGAGAAGCAGAAAAGGGAAAGGATGAGAAAAAATTCTTGTCCATATGGAACACATCAGAGGCATTAGACTTTTGGGGACACTTTGACCTCATCTTTAAGTTTGTAAATATCTTACCTCTATTTTTTTTCCTCCTGATGTGTTCCACCTGTTAATACTAGGTAAAATCTTTTTTCTTTTATCAAGGAATATGAAAGAATGAATCTGCCCTCAAGTTTTGTTTTTAAACACATCCTCTTTTAAAAAATACATTTGCCAATCAGAATTTCAAGCATACAATAGAATTTTCACCCTTTTATTCTGTTTTTAGACTACGTTGCTGCTTACACTTGGTAATGGGTTTATTAATCCTTCGCTGGGTAGGCAAGAACACTCTTCATTGTGGTTTTAACCAGGGTTTCTTAACCTTGGCATTCTTGAAATGTTGGATCAGGTCATTCTTTTGGGGGACTGTCCTATGCAATGTTGGATATTTGGCAGCATTGTTGGCTTGTACTCAATGAATGCCAACAGCACCTGCTGTGAAAATCAAAAATGTCTCCAGATACTGCCAAATGCCCCCCACCAGGGGCAATTCTTTCTTCCACTCTATACACACTAGATGCTGTCTTTAAGAAAATCATTAAAATATGAAAAGGAGATACTACAGTAGATACCCATTTGAAAGATCCAAATGCTTATTTCCCAAGTATAACATATTTCAAGAGTAATTTAATAGATCTTATTCACTGTTTAACTAGTTGCCATCCTCCAGCCTCCCCTAATTACACACTGATCTCTCACATGGCAGAATCCTCTCCCAGCCCCAGGAAGAGATTGTCAGTCATGAGAATTCCATTTCCTTTTGTCAATGGTTGTTTAAGAGATGGGAATCCCATTGCTCAGTTATAGACTGAGACATAAAAGGGGGGGATGTTTCGGAAGGCCTCCCCTTACAAATTAAAATAATAATAATAAATAAGATCCTCTCTAAGAAAAAGTCTTTTTGCCATATCTGTTTTTTTCCCACTAGAATGTCTGCCTTTAAATGAGGCTGTACTGCTTGGAGCATTAGCAGGCACTTCGCAATCACAAGGAAGTTAGCCAAAAAAAAAAAAAAAAAAAAAAGAAGAAGAAGAAATGAATTCCAACAGCTTGAAGAAGGTAGAGCAGAAAGAACAAAAGGGTTTCAGTCCCTCATGACATCTTTGAACTGTTGAACCAGACTTGGAATGTCCACCTCAGGCTGCCTGCTCGTTGGAACACTTTTATTGCTTAGCCAAATCAATAGGTAGAAAGCTGATTTGTGGGTCAAATGCAAGAACTAAGAATTGTTTTTATATTTTTAAAATTTTGTTAAGAAAACGAAGGCTGTTAAAAATAAACAGCCATATTTATTTAGACTTTAGACAAAGTCTAAACTATTTGCCATGTGGTCCTGCACGAATCAAGTTTGCCAGTCTCCAATCTAACTGACTCATAGCTAATGTCCCATGATTTGCAACCCAAAGCATTCTTAACTAATACAAGTACTTCATTACTTGTATTAATACAAGTTAAGTATTCTTAACCAATACAAGATATCTTCATTTTACAGTTATAGAAACTGAAGCTTGGATCAGTTGAGCCAATGGTAGGCAGGCTCCATCAGACAGGTCAAATACAAATTTGCCATTATCTCAACTAATCGTGAAGTTAAGCCAAATGGAGGGATTGCAAAGGCACTTAACAGACTTTTCAATTCCTTAGGGCTTCAAACCATATTTGTACCACAGACTTGGTTGTACAAATCAGAATAGATAAAGCTTCTCGATGAAACACAATATGCTCAGTGAATACTTCACAGGGGGTCGAGATGTCCTACTACTTGGAGCACCAAGGCACTTGCTGCACTAGAAGTCAAACCTACAGGCTCTAAGGAGGAAAGGACATTATAGAAATACACTAGAAACAAACTCGATGATTTGTCAAATTACCTTTTCTACTTGCTGAGACAGTTCCTGCCTTTCCTTGCTGACTCACTCAGAGAGAGTGAATCCTCAGTGAAAAATATGCAAAGCCTTCCTCCATTAACTCTAGCACCCAGGCTAAAACTGCTGTTCCCAGTTATGTCAGCATGTTTGGTAGCACTTTGGTAAAGGGTTTAAATATTGACAAAACCTTACACTCAGAGTCAGGTCCAGAAGAGAGCACACAAAGCTCATTGTGGAGAGCCCATCAGATGAGTGTTGCATGAGTTACAATAAACACTTGCCAACATCTAACCATGGGACCATAACTGAGCACTGAGTGACTGTTAGGGCCAGGCTTTTCTCAGTTGATCCACCCAGCATTTCCTTGCCTTTGTATCTCAGTACCTATCCTACTACAGCAGGTGGTAGATTGGACACAGGAGCCCTCAGTCTACACCCAATACTGGTTGTGCTTCAGTGCTGGGTTGGTTTGTCGGCAGAGCTTGACCATGTCGGGATCCAGATTCATCCATGTCTCCCAAGAAGCACATTTCTCCACTGACTCAGTAGCTGGAGAAGCCATTTGCTCACTTAGTGGGTCCCTGTAAACACTTACTGGGGGACTGCTGGAGCTTTTTAGAAGGGGTGTCACTGTGACGGCGGGAACAGCCATGCTCCTTTCTGGCCTAGGACTTGGGGTTGTAGGTTCCATATTGGTCTGGGGCTTGATAAGAGGTTTTGCCTTTTCCACCTTCCGGCCCAGCAGCCAGATACACAAGGCCACAGCAGTTATTATCAGCAGGAAGACCGCTACAGCCAAGGGTACAATGACTATCACAGGATAATTGCTCTCCCTGGGTTGGGTGGGTGCCCCAGCACTAGCATTGGTGGTGTTTGGTGGCCAAATGATCCTAGTTGGAGAGGCTCTGCTGTCTATAGTAGGCTCTTTACCATGGTGTCGTCCCCAGGATTCTGCTTGCTGGTGCCTGGTCTGAGTCAGCTTCCCTAGAATTTCTGTCTGTGCTGTGGGTTCTGAGGAAACCACAAGCTTTTCCTGAAAGAAATCTGCAGTCACAAGGTTATCTGCAGTGACTAATAAAGAAGCATCAGGGATAAATGTTTGCAAAAGTAGGGGGTCAGGTGGCACTACCGTGAAGGGGAGATATCCTATTGCTGGCTGTACATGGTCTGCCCTGAGCAGGAAAGTGAAGGAGTCATTCACCATATCAATGCCTGTTAGGTTGGCATGTGGATTAAGCATTAACAATCCTTGGTCAATGTCCCTCTGAGTGAATATGGTAGCGTTTTCCATTTCTGCGCCTCGGCCCACTCTTCGTACAAGTCTTCCATGGACAGGGGGTTCTGTCACTTCAAATTTGGGATCACTGTTAGTCCTATTAGCAAGTTCAGTGGCATCAAGGTCCTTTCTTCTCAGTTGATAAATCACTCTGTTGGCAATTGTCAGATTTGACATAACCCGCAGTAAAGGCTGCACTCTGATGCTCAGTGTTTGTCCTGTAAGGTTACTTTCTGGTGTAAACAGTGAGAAATGTAGCTGGTCCTCTGAGGCAGTGAGATTTGTCATATGGTAAGAAAGTCTTCCCAAATGCAGATCTTCCTGCCCAAAGCTGATGACCACCTGGTTTTCCATGAGCAAATGCCCATGTTGGAGGGGCCATGTCATCTTGTAAGTGATTTGGGGGCTTCTCCCATTGGTCATTGCTGACAGATGAGTATTGGTGATAGGGACTGTTGTCTGGCCTTGTGGGAGAAGTAGGTCAGTGAGGTTCACAAGGGTGATGGAGATGGGGATGACATCCAGGTGGAAGAGCTTATAGAGTGGGCGGTGTTGACCATCAGTCACACTAAAATAAAACACACCCGAGGATGGGCTTCCATCTTGAACGAACAACACCCTAGAATTGTCAATGTCAGCTTGTGTGAAATAGTGAACAGGTACGTCTTGTTGGTGAGCCATTGCCAAAAATCCATTATTAGGATTGCGGATGATCATATATCTGATCTCCTCTGGAGGACTGTCCAGATCTTCCACTCTCAGATTTTCAGGTCCCACAACTACCCTGTTGCCTTGTAAAACTTTCAACCGAAGCCCCTTTGTCTTTAATTCTGGTGCCTGGTCATTAACAGGCAAGATGGTGATGTTAAACATCTCTTCAAGGAAGTCAGCCTCTGGCTTGGCAGCAGACTTGCTCTTTTGATTTGGCCAAACAGCAAAGGTAAAATTATCAGCCAGTGATTCAGAGTCATCGTGAAGGTACATGAGTCCAAATTTATTAACTATATACTGGGAGAAATTGGGTTTTCCTTTGGTAATATTCCTCTCTCCAACCTTAATAGTTCCATGGTGAGGAAGAGATGTAACCTGGAACCAGACCTCATAGGAAGATCGCTGGGATTTGGGTAATTTCAATAAGAGGTTGGAAGCATCTAAATTAGATTGGCCAATGAGAACTTTGTCTCCCTCCTTGACAGCAGCTCCTGTGAAAATATAAAGAACAAAGTGGCATTTCATTGGAACTTTCAGATGACAGGGGTCCCTGGGTGGCTCAATCGGTTAAGCACCAGACTCTTGGTTTCAGCTCAGGTCATTTTCTCATGGTTTCATGAGTTCGAGCCCCACATTGGGTTCTGTGCTGGCAGCACGGAGCTTGCTTGGGATTCTCTTTCCCTCTCCGTCTTCCCCTCTGTCTCTCTCAAATAAATAAATAAAACTTTTTTAAAACAGTATAGAACTTTCAAATGACAGCCATAAAGCACTTTCACTCTTAAATTTCCTTATCCCTGTGGATTATTCAAAATGCCTTGGTTGCATAAGGACCTGAATTAGCACTGTTATCCAAGGCATATAAATTAACTTTTAAGTAGACACATCCTAACTATTAAGTCAATGTTTCAGGCACCAGAGTTCTAAAATCTTGAGATTCACTTATAGAATATTCAGCTCCTAACTTATCTACTGCTTGACTTTCTCTTGCCATGGAAACAGGTGCAGCTTTCAATACCCCTTTCCTTTCAGGCACTTGCCCTATTTATTATTTTCATTTTCTATGGAGTTTTTAGTCATAGGTATGGTAAAGTCCCCATTTGGAGGTACAGATAAAACTCTTTAGAGCTAATTTTCCATCTCCCCTCCCCAACTACAACTATTAAAGCTTCTGAGAGGAAAGAGAAGAGGACCAGATAAAGAGCACACATAAAGAAATACATTTTTATAAACTATGTATGTTTTATTTCAAAGGTTGATGTCATGGCATTGCTATGATATCATGGCATTTCCAATTAACAAGAGAAATATTTGTTTCCAAACTGTCCCAACTTTAATAATCACAAATAAGCCACCGACCATATCCTTAGGTGCTTTTACCTGTATTTGCAAGCAGACGACTATGCCGACCAGGTTCAGAAATTTCATATGATATAGTAATATGAAACTCCTCAGGGCCTAGAGCTGCTGGTGGAGAAGATGTTGTGAATGTGAAAGAGTCTTCTGCAGTCCAGCCAGTGTTCTCGTGGTCCACATGCTGGTATAAGATCAGCCGTTCACTGACCTGTCCAGACAGGGAAAAAAATCAGCCTCTGGCTTCAGGGATAATACAAGGACTAACATGTATCCTAACTGAAGGAGATACAGGTCTTTTCAGGGTTCATTCTCATGCTTAAATTACTGCACATATCTGCAAACATAGGACACTTAACAATATGGTAACCTATTTGTCAAACCCAGATGTTCTATTGCAAAAATAGTTTATTTATCAGAAAAAGAAAAGCATGTTGATTTTGAGATGACTAAGGCTATGGTACTTACATTATAGAAAGTATATAATAAGCCTTCATTTGCCTATCTGATGGTTTAAAAAACTATCAACTCATAACCAACCTTGTTTTATATGACACTACTCATATTCTGCCCAATAGCTTATTTTGAAGCCAATCATAACATTTTGTCTGTAAATGTTGCAGTGAATATTGACAAAATGATTCTTTTAGAAAACATAATCATAATACCATTACACATTTAAATATTATCAACAATTACTTAATATCATCAAATATCCAATTAGTGTTCAAATATCTCTGATGATCTAGTACATGTCTTATTTTTTTACATAGTTGCTTTGTTTGAGTTAGGATCCTTAGAAGTCCATGCATCACACTTGTTTGATGTTTCTCATGGGTGTCTCTTAGTCTATAGGTTCCCCTTCTCTAATTTTTTTCTTGTAATTTATTTGTTAAAGAAATTGGGTCATTTGTCTTATAGTTTCCTACATTCTGGATTTTGTCACTTGTGTCCCAATGCTATTGTTCAACATGTTCTTCTGTCCCCTATATTTCCAATATATTAGTAGTTAAATCTAGAAGCATAATAAGAATCAGATTCAAGTTTTTGTTCAGGATGTTTTACAGGTTGTACTGTATATTTTCTCTACACCTCATTGCAAGATAAAATAATATTAGATGGGTTGCTTCTCTTTTGGCTATGTTAAGATTAATAAGTGAATTCAAATGCTGCCAGATGGATCCATCGATTTTAAAGTTCCCCATCAGCCTTGTCATGTGACAATTTATAGAGTCATTGATATGATTGCTTAAAATCCCTGATTTTTGCTGAGGCAAGGCAATGATATTTTAAACATTCCTTCTTCATTCTTACCTGAGATTCTTCCAAAAAGAAGATTTTTCCCTCATCAGCTATTTGGCTATACTGAGGCTACACTGCAGTGTATGTGAGAAAGACAAGATGAATACTTGATTCCTTCCCTTTATACTGATTTTTAGAAAAATGAGCTCCCTGATTCCAATATTCAAACATAACCGCTGGTTTTTGTTTTGCTTGTTTTGAGATCATTATAAACTCATGAATTTTAATACACAATGCATTTCATTCCATTGCAATTGTTATTCTTATTGATGTTGAAATTTTCCCACCTTGCTTAGGGTATTTTTCAATATTTTAATCTAAGTCTCTAACGCCTGTTGCCTATCAATGTCCTTTCTAGCCAAGCTGATGGAGATAGGCTCCACATAGTGTATCACGTGGGTAGTCCTTCCTCCAACAACAGTGACTGGAAGTTCTAAAACTCTCACCTCAGAAAGGAAGACTAGAAATAAAATGTTTAACCCTTTCATTCCTATAGGTCACTTTTTTCTGACCTGCCTTCTATCATAATATCTGAACTTTCAGGTAGGGTTTTCCAAGGTATTTGTGTCCATGTCAGAAGTGCCTAGGATACATTATCACATAACTTACAGAACAGTTGAGTCTGTTTCATCAGTCAGTATTTGGAAATACTGTATTAATTAACAGAAGTTTGGTCGTACCTTGCTCTGGCTCAATGCTTGGCTCAATGCTGGATGTATTTGGAACCAAAGTTCTAGAAAGGCTTTTGGTCTAGTGAGTTTCCATGGAATATGAGCTTCCTGTTTCCACAGTGGCCAAAAGCTGTTGGCCAGTTTCTCATTCCTTTCTTATTCACGGATAAGACAAGAAAATGCAGTCGTTTTAGGGATTTTAAATAAGGAGAAGTATTGTTTCTCATAAAGAAGCAAGGTTACTCATGAAAAACTGGAGTTTTCCCCTAGAAGTTTCTGGGAAACAAGCCAGTTTTATTTAGCAGTTCTACTATTTCTATTCACGGCTTAAGATTTATGATAAAAGATTCATCATAAATGTATTCCTTTTCCTAGAAACAGGTGATGGTGCCATGGATTTTGGACTAGGGAATGGTTCCTAAAGGTTCCCATTCTGCTTGAGAGAGGTATAATATTAAAAGGCAAGAGGCATGCAGCTTCTTAATATTGAAAGTAACACACTCTATTAACCAGGAAGAAAAATTTTCTTGGAAGCTAGTTGATCTTATCTTTCACTTCTCTGGCTTAAGGAAAAGTTAGCATTTCTGAAAAATATATAATAAGTTATTGGAATCATCTAAGGGTCTTCTGATGTCTACAGGATGAAGAATGATTGTCCCAGGGGAAGAATGGTTCTCATAGATGGGAACAGTTGAGATGAAGGTCAGAAATTTGAGGGAAGTAATTGGAGAGGAGGCCTAACCATAGCTGTATACTTTGGAAGAGGTCGCTATAGTTCTGTTTTTGAAAGGTCGTTCAAAAAGTGAGGAATTGTGAATAACTTATTGACTCATTCTATGCTGGAGAGTGAGAGAATCAAATTAGATCATCTTGAGTGTCTGAGCTTCAAGACTGAATAGCAAGTAATTGAAAGTGCTGAGCTAGAAGTAAAAGGGAGTGAGTGTGTGTGTGGAATGTCAACTTGGCAGTCATGCCTTCAGGGAGCGTCGAGGAGACTAGAGTCTTTAATATTTAGAAGACGGTGAGCTCGAAGAATCAGATTCTAAGGCGTGTGTGTGTGTGTGTGTGTGTGTGTGTGTGTGTGTGATGGGACAGAGCTGGAAAAGGGAGAAGAACAAGACTTTATGGGAAAAAAGGTAAACCTGAAGAGAGAAGGATCTCAGACAGGATTAGGAATTTTGTTACCTCAAAGTGGCCTTAGGAACCACTTCCAACAGCTCCGCATATTTCTGCTATATTAAATACAGAGAGATAAGCCACTTAGCTGAATACCTGGGCTCTGAGATTAAGGAGAGAGGAGGGGGGAGGTTTTTATTTCCCATGGATTTAGATTAGCCCAGATACTTTCTCTTTTACAGGTGGAGTCCTTCTGGAATGTCATTAAAAGTTCAATTTTGTAGGGGCACCTGAGTGGCTCAGTTGGTTAAGCGTCTGACTCTTGATTTCAGCTCAGGTCCTGATCTCACAGTTTCTGAGATCAAGCCCTGTGCCAGGCTCCGCACTGACAGTGAGGGGCTTGCTTGTGATTTTCTCTGTGCCCCTGTCCCACTCTCTATTCTCTCTCGCAAAACAAATCAGTAAACATTAAAAAAGAAATTCAGTTTTATAGAATTCCAACTAGTAAATGCAGAAGGAAAAACAGAACGAGAAAAATCACCGTTTGGCCATCACTTCAGTAATAAATGTTTCACAGGTAAGAATCCTAAAATGGTTGCTTAAACGAGTGAGCTAAGTTGTGATGGGAAATAGGGTATTTAAAAAGTTCCAAAGTATTCCCTCACAAGATGTAAATTATAATTATAAGAACAAAAATAGAAACTTCACAGTGGAGAAACCAGAAAGACTGCACCTAACTGATTAAAGGCATCATCCGTGACAGGGCGACATGAGCATCAATGTTTCCTGACATGAAGCTGGAGGAGAATTCAGCATCTCTCGTGCCACTGCCGCCAAAGCACACAACCTGATTCCGACTGTGAGGAAACATTCAATAACACCAAAGCAAGGAACATTCTACAAATAACTGGTCTGTTCTCCTCAAAAACTGGCAATGTCACAAAAGTCAGCATGACTGCAGAATTGACTCAGCGTAAAGCAGACCAAGGACACCTGACAACTAAATGCTATGTTTTACGCTGTCGACTTTTTTAAGGGTATTCTATAATACTCTTTTCTCTAGAGGATATTCACTGAGACAACATGTGAAATTTGAATAAGGTCTATAGATTATACAATAGCATCATATCAATGATAATTTCATGATTTTGAACATTATATTGTGGTTATATGAGAAAGGCCTTGTTTTTAGGAAATATACACTGAGGTGTTTAGAGGTAAATGTACACCAGGGACATCTGGGGAGCTCAGTCAGGTAAGTGACCTACTCTTGGTTTCGGCTCAGGTCATGATCTCATGGTCTGTGGGTTTGAGCCCGGGCATGGGGCTCTGCACTGACAATGTGGAACCTGCTTGAGATTCCCTCCTTCTCCTTCTCTCTCAGCCTCTCCTATATGTGCTCTCTCTGTCTCTCTCAAATTAAATAAATAAACTTAAAAAAGAGGTAAAGCTATGTCATGTCTGCAAATGGCTCTTAAAATTTCAGAAGTGTGTGTGTGTGTGTGTGTGTGTGTGTGTAGACGGAATGATAAAGCAGATAGTTATTTTCCATATTTGGGGAATATGGTTGAATAGTATACTGGAATTTTTGAACTCTTTTGCAATTGTTCTGTAAGTTTGAAATGATTTCAAAATAACAATTAAAAATTCTAAAAAGGGAAATCCCATGGTGTTTTATTATATCAACTTCAGTTAGAGACCAATAGTTTCTGTTCTCTGATGACTATGTGTATGTAGAATGGGGGAGTGAGGGCAACCTTCAAATGCCTTGGGCACTCTGACATCAAGAAATGATGGTTTCCTGTCCCAATATACCACCCCCCCATCTCCAACTTGGTCCATTTCTCTAGTACTTTAACAAGGCTGTATTCCTCTGTAACCTATGAGTGGGTGAATACATAGGTCAAAATCCTAGACCCAAGTAGGGCTTTTATTTGAAGTGATAATATGATGACAACAATTGGATTTCTGAGATCTAAACCTTCTGGATTTCATATCCTTGATTACCACAGAACCACGAAGAAAAATATTTGTCAAAGGCCAAAGAGATAGATTTGGCCAGGGGCCCCACTGAATTTTCTATAATGGGTTAAATTTTACAGCTGAGACACTGCTGAGAACC